CTGTACTTAATGATAAAGTGAAATTATAATCTACTATTTTGAATCTATTATATACTATGAAATACCTGTCTAGCTCAAATATTAGCATATAAAAGTGAAAAACTATAATATTGATGAGAAATCATATGGTGTGGCTTTTCTCCTAGCAACGTGCCCTTTGGTGTTTATGACGTAATCATATGATGTCATCCCCTCTCGAGTAATGCACCCTCTGGTGGTAAACAACTTTTGTCGGTTAAATGGTGCCCTAACTGCTCTCGTTGGTGATCACGTGATCCTCTATCTTTAATTCACAATTTGGTACAATATTATCTCGATGACGTAAAGCAGTGTTATCGGAAGTTTTTATGTTGCGTTGTTTGAGTAATTTACTGAAATGTAAAAGGAAGTAAACTATAATTAAAGAAAACTACCATGGAAAACTATTAAAGGTTGTTTTTTGTTTCATTCATATCTACGTGAGGCATTTTGATAGTAAAATACCAAAGTAGTGCCTTAAAACGAGGCACTTCAATAATAACATACCAAAGTAGTGCCTTGAATCGAGGCACTTCAATAATAACATACCAGTGTAGTGCCTTGAAACTGTCTACTTTAAGTCTACAATTAAGTATTTGAACCATTGTCTTCAGGCTTTTCACTTTAAATATTGTTCCATCATCTAAAATCCAAATAAAATCCAATCATAAACATGATTTATTTATTTATTTCCAAAGGTCACGTACATGTTACTTCGAATATAAAATTTCATTAAAACGTAATAAACTTAACAGATTCATTCAAATAAAGATTTTCTAACCATCAGTTTAACTTTATTAACACTATATACTGACCTCCCACAGCTCGGTTTTTCCAAAGGATAAGAAGCATGACGAATTAAGTCACGTAACATACACGTAAATAGTATGGAAAGAAGTTATAACTCCATGTTAAAAGCTAGCAATGCGAATAATTTCAGTTATATATCTAAACAGTACTTTTATCATTTCAAAATCTCTAAACTATCTTAACTTTCCTCATCAACTGTGACGTATGCTACATCCCGTTACACAACTAACACTTCCTTAATTCATATTTATTTATCGTTTTTAACGTTATCCAAGTAAACATAAAGTAATAAAAATGTTATTAGTTCGACCCATTAAGAAAAATATATTAATTTTTCATCTTGTTCTAGCCATTCTAGTAAAGGTTTGCCTACTACTGCAAACTACTTCGAAACTAGGATTTTAAAAGACGAAAATAAGACCAATTCACATAAATACACGGTAATAAATCTTAGATTTAAACGAAAGTAAAAATGTAAATACATAATATATATAAGGTTTACAATTACAATGTTATAGGTATCTCGGAGTTCATTATTTTTATATATATATAA